CCCATGAAAATCAGTGTGAACTTCAGCAGCCCTGTGGACCTCAGCCCCAGCCCTGCAAATCAGCAGTTCTCAAGGATTGCACCATGGCAGATTTTTAGATTCGTAATAAAATTGGAAAACAGTATAAATGATAGCTAAGACTGACTAAGCGCTTACCATGTGCATACATTTTTGGGGAAACTCTGTATGTGAATTCTCCACAACAGACTGTTACCTTTATAATTAGAAAGGTCAAATGTTTTCAAATAAATTAAACCAAAGAAAGTATTATTTGCTTTCCATGCTTCACTTGTTGCCTTCTGTAAAAGGGACGTGTATTTAAAGAAGAAAAAATAGTGATTTGGAGAAAACCTGCCTCCCTAGGGCCGTGGAGCTCAGCGAATTGGAGGAACTGCAGGCAGGTTTGCCGATGGAAGAGGCAGAGGTGGGCTGGGAGGACTTCGAAGCCTGTAGAAAAAGAGTGTGCCTATGGCATAGAGAAACAGCAGGGGTGTTCATTGCTGCCGAAAGCACCTCAAGTCAGAGAAAGATGGGGGCTGGGTGGCACCCAGGCGCTGGGCTGTGTATCCCCCCTGCTGAGAACCCAGGCCACACTCCCATCAGGCTTGCCTGAGGAGGCCAGTCACCCTGACCTCCTCTCCCTGGAATAAGTGAACCCTTCATCCCAGCGCACTCATCTGTCTGGATGACTGCTCAAAGCTGACCCACCTAGCCCCCCACCAAAGCCTGCAGAGGGCCCTGCACCCCGCAGCCACTGGGACCTCCGTGTAAGAACCAGCAGTGAGTGTTCCCTGATTCCTTCCAGTGAAATTTCTTCTCCACCCTGGCATTCACCCTGAGGCCCTCCCCAATGCAGCAGCCACGAGAGTGGGCCTGGTACTGGAGAAAGCCATGTGGACAGGACTCAGTGACCTGAGCTGTGGCCTTCAGTCGAGACATGAGTGACCTGGCAGGGAGGAGGCCAGAGGAATACATTCTCAGGTCCCTCCTTCTGCCCTCAGATATCCTGCTTGTAGCTCCATCAGCCAAATAAGTGCTTAGCTGGATACTTACACAAAAATTTTTTGCTGTTGATGTGAATTATAAATTTAAGTGGTGGTCATGCATTCTTTAAATTTTATTTATTTTTTTATGTTCTTTTTTTGTTTTTTCATTTTTATTGAATTTATTGGGGTGACGTCGGTGAATGAAATTATATAGGTTTCAAGTGTATAATTCTGTAACATATCTTCTGTATATTGTGTGTTCATCACCTAAAGTCAAGTCTGGCGTTGTGCATTCTTACTCTCTGAATGTGCACAACCCTAAGCAGAGACTACCCTATTCTGCACACACACACACTCAGGAGCCCAGGAAGGTGCGGCATCTTGAACGTGATAGGAGGCACAGCCCTCGAGCAGGGATGGGGCCCTTGGTGTACCCCCAGTCACTGCCTGCAGAATGCCAGGCTTGTGTCTCTCCTACCTGCCTGTTTCACCAGAATCGTGGTCAACGTGTTTGAATACATACCAACCAGCATAGACTGTATGCTCCAAAAACGCTATTTAAAAACCTAAAAGTACAACTATTGTGAGCTTATATTTTTAGAAATACTTGTGAGCCAGATGAAATGAAAACTTTTCTTGGTCCATTCCAGCTGGCCAGCATTTTGCTAGGCATAAGCCCACTTTGATCCCCTGCCTCATACCCAGGGATGGGTCTCTTTGTGACCAGTAGCAGCCTTCCGAGGCTATTGACCAGATTTGTGGTTCACTCTTGTGACTGGGCAAACAGTGATCTCAGGTGCCGGCACCTTCCTGCCATGCTGCTGAGTTGGGTATGAAGGACTTGGGAGTGAATCACAAAAAATCTTTTTTGATGGGGGTGTATGGTTCAGAATGAGTCACCCCAAGTTGTGCCTCTGCGGTTTGTGGATTGTTTTGAGCTGAAGACAACTTTAGCCCCTTTAAGCTACAGGGAAATTTCTGCCCCTTCCTAAACCACCCAGAAGAACTTGAATTAGGGCCTTGCCCATACTAAGAGATGATCAGCCATAACCTCTTTTAATCTGTCTGCAGGATAAACTTCTGTATACTAAACATGCGCTCTTCTTAGTTGCCCTGCAGTGGCCCTTTGAAGCCCGCAGGGCACCTTACCTCATGCCTGGCTCAGGACGCCTTATATACCCGTGTTCCCTTTCTGTCTCTGAACCCTGTGCATGTGGGGTCTCTGACTCTCATGCATGCGGGTCCCCATACAGATGTATGTGTTAAGTTTGGTTATTGTCTCATTAATCTGCCTCGTGTCTGTTTGATTATTGGTCCAGGAATATAATTCACAGGAGGAATATTTCATAGGGTTCTCCAGAAGGTGTTGAGCGAACGCAAGAATGAGTTCGTGAATGAGACGTGTGTGTTCCGAGGACACTGAGGATGCCCCACTTCTGCCTCGTCATGGCCTCATAAGTTGAGAACCTCCTTGGAAAACACCAGTATTTATAAGGCTAAATAAAGCCCTAGCTGGTTTGGCTCAGTGGTTAGGGCGTCGGCCTGCAGACTGAAGGGTCTCCGGTTTGATTCTGGCCAAGGGCACGTACCTCAGTTGCAGGCTTGGCCCTGGCAGTCGGGGTGCGTGCAGGAGGCAACCAATTGATGTGTCTCTCTCTCGATGTTCCTCTCTCTCTCTCCCCCCTTCCACTCTCTCTGAAAAGCAATGGAAAAAATATCCTCGCGTGATGATTAAAAAAATAAGAACAAATAAAAAAAATTAAAGGCTAAATTTTAAAAAAATCACTGTTCTGTTTTGCAGCTCTTGCTGAGGTGAGGGGAGAAACCACGCCCAGCCTGCCATTCCCAGGAGGCCTCGCCCACCCTGACCCGGTGCCCTCCTCCTTCCCTCTCACCCTTGGGGCCCAGCCCTTGGTGGTGGGGTCACCAGCCCCGCCTGGAAGACCCGGCAGAGGAAACGCAGCCCTTCCCAGCGCGAGGCGGGCCAGGTCCAAGCGCCTGCCACCTCTTGCTTTTAATCACACTGTTGGCCACATAATGCTCTCCGAACACAAAGACGTCAAGTTCAATTGCTCCATCAGTATACCTAACACGTACCAGGACATCCATATTTCTTGGTGGAAAGATGGGAAGGAACTGCTTGGGGCACATCATGCAGTTACTCACTTCTACCCCGTTGATGAAGCGACAGCAGTGATCGCATCCTTCAGGTACGTGTTCCCTCTTTCTGTGTAAGTGTTTGTGACGCTGTTGACGGTTCAGAAGCAAGTGCATCCTCAACACAAAACAGTATTTTGTTTTCTACATTTGCAGCTCCACAGGTGCATTCAGAATGTAGATTGATATCCGACAGTCTGCATGGTGGGTCTCTTTCCAATTGATTGTAGCCCCACTGGAATATCATTAGCTCTCAGGTCTGGTGTAGGGGTGACAGCTCTCCAGCTGCTCCTCGCAGGTCACGCATCCCAGGGGGGCACCTGCCATCGGGCGAGGGACAGGTAGGCAGCTCTCAGCAGAACGGGAGCTGGTGCTCCTGTGGCCAGTAGGCCCCCCAGACCTAGTGATCTGTGATTTGTGGCGAAGGGAATGTTTTTGTGGTTTGTTTTCTGTGCGGTTGAGGGACTTTTGATGGTTCCCATCACTAAAGCTGGGAGGACTTTGCTTTCTTAGTCCATTTTTTTGTGTGAAGATGTGAAGTGGTCAGTTTGTATCCCTGTGGGTTCCTTGTGCCCCGAGCAGCTGGTGTTTGACATCCCCCTGCCCACAGCTGCCCTGGGGGGGCCTGACGCCTGCTGTTTCTGATGGCCCCGAAATGGAATTATACATGAGAAAGCAGCAAAACATCTAGAAAATAAGGACAGCCCTGGCTGGTTTGGCTCAGTGGTTAGAGCATCAGCCTGCAGACTGAAGTGTCCTGGGTTTGATCTTGGCCAAGGGCACCTTCCTTGGTTGCAGGCTCCATCCCCGGCCGTGGTGACAACCAATGGATGTGCCTCTCTCACATGGATGTGTCTCTCTCTCTGTCTCTCTCTCCCACTCTCTCTGAAAAGCAATGGAAAAAATGTCTTCGGGCGAGGATTAAGATAAGATGATAAGATAAAATAAAATAATAAAATAAGGAAATAGTTTTTTTAAGCCAAACCATCAACTGGAAAAGTTACCATTAGTCATAGATCACTGACACTCTGTGACTTGCTTCGTACTCAGAAGACTTTCTTTCAGCTCCATTTATACAAGGCTTTGCACGAGGGAGACCCGTGGTCTGCCACCAGCACCATTTGATCTGTGACAGGTACAAATAGGACGCCTATCAGTGCATCATTGTGTTTATTGAAAAAATTTTTTTTAAATTTTTCTTATTATGGTAGCATGTACATAAATAAAATTTACCATTTTAGCCCTTTCTGCGTGTATAGTTCAGTGGCATTAAGTACATTCACATTGCGGTGCAGCCATCACCACCGTCATCTCCAGAACTTTTCCACCATCCCAAACAGAAACTTCTTGGCTGTGAAACACTAACTCTCCCTTTTCTCCCCCAGCTCATGGTAACCTCTATTCCATGCTCTCTATTTCTCTACTCTAGGGACCTCATAGAAGTGGAAATGTACGTTTCTCCTTTATGTATTTCTTTTAAGAAGGCTCTAGAGCTTAGCTGCTACGTATGAGCCATTTTTGAGCAGGCCAGCCCAGTTGGGACAGATCCCAGGGACAGAGAGGCTGTGTGTCCCTTTAGGATGTCCTGGGGCCAGCCCAAGCGAGGCTGCCCTGGTGTGACGGGCTCTGCACCTGCTGGCCCTGTGGTCTGTCCAGGTGGTTCCTGTCTAGACCGTGGCCGATCTCTAGGGCTCCTGTGGTTCTGCCTGGTTCAAGTGTTTGTACTTGACCAAACTCTCATGGGATGTGTATACCTTTTTTAAAGCAGTGCGTACATGTGGTAGATTATTTCAGCTCTTTAAAATTTCCTCCAGCCCCCAACTCTTTGCCAGTGGGGAGCTGAGGTCAACCATTTCTCGAGCATCTTTCCAGAGTTACTCAGAGCTTGGGTTGTGTGTGTGTGCCAGGCCCCAGAGTGTGTTAATCTAGTAGAGTGTTACTCACAACTGTGGTGAATCAGAACCCTCAGCTCACGTTATTGGGGCTATAAAAATGCTATTTTCAGCTGAATCATGTCATAGACGGTAATCACCTTTATTTCTTGGCAGTTTTATTTGCCTGAAATTAATATTGTTTCCTTGCTTCTTGTTAGTTTAATTTTCTAAGTGTCAGTTACTCATTCTTCTCGAAACTAGAAAATAGGCATTTCTTTTCAAAGTGACAAAATTATCAGCTCTTTTTCCTTGGTGACTCCTTTCCTAGAGCCACCCCCTTTCCTGCTTTGGCCTGGGGTCCAGCCGAGTCATCTTTGTGCTCCTCCCGGGGACCCTCACTCCTCTGACTCCCAGCCCCTGGTCTGCTCCCAGGAGCCCAGGCCGCTTCTTGGTTTTCACTCCCTCACTTCGCATTAAGCCCATCTTCCACTGGCCTCTGGGGACTTGCATCTTTGAAAATGCCATTTTTTTCCCTACCCTCACCCTGAGGTAGTTTGGCCGGAGACAGAATTGAAAAGGAAAATAATTTCCTGTTGTCACTTGAAAGTCATTGGTGTACTTCCTCTTTGCTCCCAGATTTGTTCTTGGCAGTCCAGTGCCGTTCTGATTCATACAAGAACAACCTGCTCTTCTTTCCTCTGGAAGCTTTGGGGTTTCCACTTTATTTCAGAGTTGTGACCTCCCCTGGGGAAGCTTCTGAGTGGGTGTCTTCTCTCCCACGGTGCTGCCCACTGAGGGGCCTGGTGAGGGAAGACCCATATCTCCAGGACTGGTCATTTTCTTGAATCCTGCTCCCCTTCTGCATTTTTTCTGGAACTGTTCCTCAGGTGTTGGAATGCTTAGATTGCTTTTCTGAACTCAGGGCCTTTCCCGTTGAGCCCGCATGGAGACTGTGCCTGCTGTTTCTGCTAGGGACAGGGAGGGCCTCGGGGACACCACTCCTCCTTGTCTCCAGCCCACCATACCCTGCCTTCAGCATGGGAGCCTTTCCTTGGATGTCTAGAAATAACACACAGAATTATTTGTGAAAATCTGTCCTGTGCTGTAGGTACAGTGGATGTGGACTTGCTAATAATTAATGCCAGCACACGGCCCTTCTCCTCAGACCACTGCTAAGCTCTTCCTGGCATGAATGTGTCAACTTAAGAAACGTCCTGTAGAGAATTTTTTTTACTTTAAGTAATTTTTTATTTTTCAATTACAGTTAATGTACAGTATTATATTAGTTTCAAGTCTACAACCCAGTGATTAGACATTATATAACATACTAAGTGATGACCCTGATAAATCTAGTACCCATCTGACACCATAATTATTACAATATTATTGACTATATTCCCTGTGCTGTATTTACATCCCCATGGCTATTCTGCATCTGCCTCAAGCCGCCTCCCTGGGGCCCTGCCCTGTATCCCTCTCTGGTTGTCACCTTCTCCCTGGTCGTGGCTCCTTGAGTCATCTGGCAAGCCTGTTGCAACACTGCGGTCCCAGAGCCAGAGCCAGAGCCAGGTCTTCAAAGGCACGGGTGTCCTCAGCCTGTCAGATCTTGTCATCCACTCTGTGGAACCAGGGCCTTCTTTGAAAAAAGTGACATCTCTTCCAAAGTGAACTTGTGAACTGTGTGGAAGGGGCTCCCTCTGCAGTAGCTGTGACTTTGGTTTTCCTTGGAAATGCAAAGAAGATTAGACTGACAGGTCAGCTGGGCAGAGTTTTCAGGAGCCGCTGAAACCACGGTGCACATTCAGCCCATTATTCCTCTCAGTGGGCAGGACACCACTCCAGACACACGCTTCTCTCCCTCTTTCTTCAGCCCTTTCTGTCACCGTGACATCCAGGGAGATGACCAGGGGAGGGTCAGCCCCTTGTTTGGAGATATTTGTCCTGTGAGGTCTCTTTCTGTCTTTTCCTATTTTCCTGGTGACCTCTAGACAGTGTGACATTCAGCTCCTGCCCCAAAGCATGGAGAGATCTGGCCTTGCCTTGATCCTGGGTCCTCCCAGGTCCAATGTTCATACATCGCAGTGAAGGGAAAGGGGAAGACAGTATCCTAAGTCAGTGGGGTCCCACTCAGATTGGCACGTCAGGAAATGCAGCTGACAAGTGACAGTCACACCCCTAGCTCCTGGGAGCAATGTGGAAGTGATGTTAACCCAAGTGTTACATAGCTCCTGTTTGGAAACCCACTGGAAAGGTGGAAAGCAGGATTCTCAGCCTCTTAGAGCCAAAGCCAGCTTTTAATATCAGATATTTTATAACATGTTGTCCAAATGTAATACAAAGAAACCGAAAGAAAGGTGATTTATAATAAAATAATATGAATGGGAACCTGTTAATGTGGGGCGTGGCCACACCGGGTATGCAGAGACTTGCACCTTGACCCCCCACATGCCAGCTGCAGACACAGCCTTGATGTCAGTGACCCTTTTTCCAAATGGTGGCCTAGTCCCTGCAAAGTTCCAGACAGGCCACAGGGCCATTGCTGCTCCCTCAC